AGCCTCCGCAGTCTCGACGCAACCAGGCATTACGAGACGACACTGCTCTCGTTTCTCCAGAATCATCTGTGAGACTCTGAGACAAGGAATTTTTCAAGGCCACCAGAACCCATTCAATTCCCCAACAATTCGAAGAGATCTTACGGAAAAACCACTAGGTAAAAAAATGGAATTTTATCTGGGAATTGAGAGTAATCTTCAGCCGAAGTTTATTTATTTCTTTGAAGCTAGAAATTCGTCGGAATGAATTTGGAAAATTTTTACTTTACAAGAGAATGAAAATTTCCAGTGTTTCTATCTAGTAGTTTTTTCGCAGGATTTTTATCGAATTTGCGCGAGTTTTTAGGGAGAAAACGAAGAATTTCAAAACAACTGCCACTCCATCTCTTTACCTATGTACATAAAAAACTTAACGTTTTCGTTATTTCCTATCTTCAACTTCTTCCATTGTCATATTTTACCTGTTCACAAGGGGTTGAAGGAACTTTTCGTCGACAGTATTAATCAAGAAAAACAGCTATCAATACCTGTTGCCATAATAATTGATACTAAATGAGAATACTTCGCACGTATGCAAAGAGCAGGAAATTGTAAAATTCATATCGTTTTATCAGTCGACAATACTCACCAGACGTTATTGTGTGTAATTTCGGTTAAAAGTGTAACGTAAATCGTACTTATTGTCCCACAGCAACTCGCGTTTTTCAAGTTATTATCAATTTCATTTTATTTTTTACCCATGTGTTTTCGTTCTAATTCTTATTAATTTTTTTTTATGAAATAACAGTTATTGGTCATGTATATACTATTTCCAACGACCTTGTTCTTGAAAAAATTTAAATCACAAAGTGAATGAATCAAGCGAATAGACACGAGTATTACTGTAATGCGAGTATTTGCGGATTGTCATCATTGTCAAACAATATGCATTCATAGAGTTATCATTTGATTGTCAATAAATAATAAATTCACTATTTTATATAGATTGTTTTGTTCCTCGCTGCGTTCAGAGCTCCCTCCAATCCCTAGATTAATTCAGTACTGAAGACAGCGGACTCCCGTTTACTATATTTATGTCTGTACTCAGGGATGTAAACAAATTAAACTCCCACTACACGGATGCCTCAATTCCACTTTGCATCACAATTCCGAGAATTTTCAAAGAAAAAATAATATTTTCACGATTTACTTGACGGGAGTCCACTGTAATAGGTAATAAGGGATAAGAATTTAAACCAAATGGAGAAATGAATCAACAGATATTTCTTTAATGACTTAACAAAATTTAATGCATTTTAATAAAAGTTTTAGTTTTACGGTTCAAGAATTTGTACAAAAATTTAATCTGCTTGTTAATGTCGTTCCATCTAGTTGGATTTGAAATAGGGAAGATACCTTTCGAAAATATTTTCTTCTTTCGTATGAGAAGCTGCATTTCGTTGCCCTTTACTCCACGCAACCAGGAAGGGGTGATATATTGGATTCTCGTTGGATTGAGACTGTCGTCCCCAAGAATATCGACATAATCGTTCTGACCAAAAAGTGCACGTCTTACGGACCAGCGGTCCTTTGGCCGGTAAATTGGCAGTTGACGAATTCTACGTTCATCTTCGCGGGGGAGTAATCCACGGATATTAATTGGATCTGAATATCCGAATCTTCTGACGAGTGGTCCTTTTGCTCTACTCTCCTCAAAATACCGAAAACGCACTTGAGTTACTTGAGGAACCCACGATGTCACGGGGATGATTTTGCTTCTGATCCAAGACATTGCACTGAAGCAAAGACAAATTACAAACTCACAAATTTCATCAATTATTTATCCATAACTCAATAGTTTTCGACTGGGACAGGAGCATAACCTGACTTTTTAGAAAATGCAGATATTTTCTGTTGATAACTCTGTCTTAATTGGAAAATTATAGAAATTAATTGGACTTACCGCTACGACCAAAGAGGATTGACTAAAGTAGAGGCTCAGTACTGGGGGTTTGAGTGACCCCGTCGGCTTTGTAGTACCTCATCCGAAGAGAGAGAGAGGGCGGCACACGCAATGCTGGGGTGTCCAATTCGACAGGGTGAATTTTATTTTCTTCGGTATGAATGCTTTTTGTTTTTTATTTGTTTAACTGAGATTTAGCCGACTGTAGAACGAGCGGAAGGGGGAAGTCACTTCTTGCGGATTTCAAATGAAAAAAATTATTTAATATATTGAAGATATACTACTAATGAAATTATAATTTCATAATGACTAGCACGCCGACGGCCTGGGTTCGATCCCGCAATCATTAATTTTTTTTTTCAAAATAATTCCAATTTTTT